CGCCAGTGCTAAGCCCTCATTATCTAAATAAACTTCGCTGTATATCTTTCCTAATACCTTCCAAAATTTCAGACCAAAAAATCTCTTTTTCTAACTTTTCTACTACCTCTTTTTTAGGTTTAGTTATAGGGTTTTTAGGTTCAAATAAGGAGCAGCAGTCTTCATATTGTTGTAAAGAAAGATTATAAGTCCCTATTTTTTCAGCGGCGGTAATTATTTCACTCTTGTCTCAACCAACTAAAGGGCAAAGGACAATTAACGAACTAACTTGCTGAATCACTGCTAAACTTTCTAAGGTCTGCGAGGCTACTTGGGATAATGAGTCACCAGTCGCAATAGCATCAACTTTTAATTCTTGGGCTAAGGAACAAGCCAAACGAATAAACATTCTTTTCAAAATAATTAGGCGGTATTTGTTTTGGCTAATATGGCTAATTTCGGTGAAAAGAGGTTTAATATTAATTAAATAAATGTCCTGAGCATAATTATTGTAAGGACTTAATTTTTCCCCTAGCACTAAGATTTTCTTTTGCCCCTCTTTTTGATGGTAAAAATGGCAATAAACAATTTCGCAGCCCCTCTTCATTAGTTGATAAGCGGCCACCGGAGAATCTATCCCCCCACTTAAAAGTAATAAAACTTTTCCGGAACTGCCAACCGGCAGGCCCCCTAGCCCTTTCATTTTATCAGCAAAAAAAAGGATAAAACCCTGGTAAATTCGGATATAAAAAATTTTTTGCGGCTGATTTAAATTGACTTTTAAGCCCCACTTTCTAACCACAATTCCCCCTAATTCTTTTTGTAAAGTCAAGGAGTTTTTTGCAAAATTTTTGTCGCTCCTTCTAATGTCAAATTTGAAAGTATTAAAATTAATTTGGCAATAATCATTAATTTTCTCAACAAAATTGTAAAGCTCTTCTAGATCATTTTTTAGTTGATAGGCCAGATAAAAGGCACTAATTCCAAATATTTGGTTTAAAAAAGAGGCCATTTTTGGTAATTCATTGTCGTTGTGGTTCGTAATTATCAATTGGTCGTGGAGTTTCTTAATTTTGAAATTAAAAAGATTATTTTTTTGAAAAGTTAAGATAATATTAGTGACTAATTTTTGAAT